GTGCTGGCCCTCAGAGCAGGGCTATTACCATGCTTGGACGGAGCCTCGCCTGGGCATGAGCGTAGGGGCTGGCAGGAGTGTGCATGGCCAACTCGTGCACATGCGGGCCGCACTGCAGGTTCTAAGGGCCATGACATTTAAAGAAAGGATTCCACTGCTAGAAGGATGATGGGGTGACAGGTGCATCTAAAACCCACACTATCCTTCTAGTGGACAATACAACTGCAACAGCATTTGAAAGCTGGACAAGGAACAGGGACGATCAAATAAGAACGGATGCCTTTGAATTGTGATGGGGACAACGAGTAGCGATTGTGTCGTTAAGATTCTCAAACAGCAAACAATTGTGTCCTAAAAGAGGAGCAGCCATGGTGTTCCTTAAATGCAAAGATGATGCAGTTTCATCTCTTCTGACCATATTATCAGGAAGGGTGAGTCCTCAGAAAAAGACATCATGCTGTGGAAAGCAGAGGGTCAGTGAGAGAGGACGAGCCTCAAGGAGATGGGACTGACAGACTTGAACAGGCTAAAAGGCTTCAGAGATCATGGGAATGGTACACACAGGGCAAGGTTCAGATTCCTTTTGTTCACAGGGCCACTATGAGGTACAGTCAACTCAACAGCAACTAACACATTCCTTGCTATTCCAACCTTCACTGGTGATGGTGAAACTGCGTTTGCTCTGGTTCTGACGAAGCATTTTTAACGTCCGTCTCAGTACCTGGAGGTGGCAAGTGCGAACCTCCAATCCATGGCCACACAAAGTGGTTCTCAAGTCCTTTCCCTCAGTAAGGTGTGCGTGAGGGAGTGCCAGGGCCTCACCCGGCCTCGGGGGCCACAGACTCCTCCCTGTCCGGCCCATGTCCGCTCTGTATTTCCCAGCCAGGATCCTCCTCTCACTGCCCTCAAGGTGTTTTTACCTTTAGCACAGTTTGTTCTGACATGAGATTTAATAAGCCTGGTAATTACTACACTAAATGCAGACATCTGGAATGCAGACATTCCAAAGATGAAGACATCCAGGGTTGACTGCTATCAGGGACTTCCTTGTCCATCTTCTCTGGGGGCCAAGATTGACCCCAGTGGGATTGCCCCCACCTTTCCAAAGGAAAAGCTGGGGTGGAATAAACCACGGCATTGTGGCTGACAATAGGGGAGAAGAGAAAAAAAAATAACTCAATCCTCAGTAAAGACTTTATTCTACCCGATTAGAAGGGAAAAAAGACATGACGTCATTTTCAACATAATTTATGTACATTTATGGCTTTATACAATCATAGCAAAGATTGTTCTGTGTCTGTAAGTACATCATCATCATCATCAGGCACTTCTCTGAGAGTATGGAAACAGGGACATCACATCTGCACTGTTACCGACTCAAGTAATGAAGTTGAGAAGGTGGGACTCGAGCCTGTGGGGACTTCAAGGCTGTCCCTGACCCTTCGGTCAGGCTGAGTGACACCCTTCGTGGGGAATCCAATCCTAACACCGGGATGTGTTGTTTTCAAGAGACACATGGTGACTTTTACTTAACAATTTCTCTCGGACTGAAACAAGAGAAATGTCTCATTTAAAATCATCTGTAAGTGAGGAACTCCTAACAGCTGAATTTAAGAATTTCGAGCATAAGTGGGGGGAAGTCCTGGTCATATATGTCTAGCAGTTGAACACGTCTATACCTTTGGAGAGCCAATTCCATTTTAAGTGTCCTTACCCTCTTCTTGGGATGTCCTGCTCATTTCCTGCTTTTGGGAATACATTTGCTAAGTAATTTAAACTTTGTCAGTTTGTCAAAGTAAAACTTTCCAAGTAATGCATCTATTACCTAAATATATTCCATACTTCTATATTACGGAAACAATACTTCTTTATATTTAAAATATCTGAATAGTTCTATTATACAATATGCTTTTAATAACAGTACAAACCAGAGGAAAGAAATCAAACAAGGCTGCATAGGTGTTATCATTTGCACATTTCACAAAGCAATCATTTACAATAATAACTGATACGCTAATTATGCCAAAAGTCAGTATTCTTACAGGAGAATGAATTTCCAGAGGTCGCATAATGTTTTCTTTCGAGACAAATGCCTTTCACAGGACTTCACTGCATCCCACAGCACGCTACCAGGGATTCAGTCAGAATATCAACACCAAGAAAAAATGGGGAGGAAAGGGGTATTTACAGTGAGTCAAGAGAGAGAAGGATCTCTTACAGGTCATTCTATGAAGTAGAAGATTTAAACCGTGATTTTCACTGCAGGTGCCTATTTAAGGACTGAGAAGGGCTCCAGGGTTCGCTATGTAAGGTGAGGTAACATCGCAGGAGCAGGAGAAGCAGTAGGATTTGGTGACAGAAATGGGAACTTCAGCACTCTGGACCAGTAATTCTATTGCGTATGGAGGAGCTGTTTTTCCAGGAACTAAGCTTTCTAAACCAGCCTTCATTTGGAGTAGCCAAAAGACGGTGGTGCGAGGTGGTTTTCAATGAATTTTCGAGAGTTCAAAATCACAGTGGGAAGCTTACAAGAGTAGTGTCCTGCCAACCAGGATGCAGCCAGCACACAGGATGAACTGAGTGCGCTCCGGGCGAGGCAGCCGCAGTCAGAGCCCTCTCAAACAGGCCAGAGCCCACTGTGCACCTGCTTCTCGAACAGTGCTGAACCAGCTTGAAGGCCAGTTACAGGTAACTGGAAAGCATTACAACATAACCACCTGAATTATGGTCTGGGGTGCTAAAGGCTAAAGAAAGTCTCCAAGTCTTAAGCTGAGGCTTTTAAAATAAGTTCAAAATGTTTAAATGACAGCTGGTTTTCAAATGAATTGCCCCAATTTCCCAACCGGCTTTATTCCATTTGAGTATAGTAATAAAAGCCATCTGTACTCATGAACACAAATGCAATCTACAAATCCCATTTTTTAAACTTCCTCCTCCATTCTTAACACATCCAAGGAGGGCTAAGTAGCCTGCAGGACAAAGAGAAGGGGCAGAAGTGTGAGTGGTGACCTAACTCTCCAAGGCAGAGCTGCGAGACCACCCTCCACCTTGGCCAAAGTAAGAGTAGAGAATCAAGAACTGCAAGGGGAGACCTGTGCCAAGGCTCAGCTTAAAGGGCAGGTTTATAAAAACTCCTCACTTAACGAGAGTGCAGTGATTGAGATGTAGGTTTTCCTTCTGACTTACAAACATTATGCGGCCTCCCAGGATAACCGGGGCCAAAGGGGCTCACGGTATCCACCAGAATACTCAGCGCGATGCGGGCACGTTGCTGACATGGTCACTGAAGCAGATGAAGTCTCTTTAAATTCCGCACATGAACGCATCCCAAGTTCTTCTAAACATGGAACCCCAAGTGTCCATAACTGTACATCACTCTCTTGCCAAAAATAAAATGGTCAGAAACACTGAGTATAAGTACTAATTACAACATTTTTAAGATTATTCAGAAACATCACCAAGTAGCATCCCAAAGTGTACAAACCAGGTAAGCACATATAAAATTAGTAACTAATCCAGTTAGGAGATACAAAATGGAAATTATGAGCACTGCCCCAGACACCTGCAATTGCACAAATTTACAAGCAGACGATATAACAAAGTAGACTCTAGTTTTAAGAAAACATTACAATTCAGCATCTATTCCAAAAGTCCGGAAAATAATGTCAAAATCATCCATATGGAGATTAGAACCATTTAAATGTTTGTACAAATCTGCAAAAAAAAAAAAAAAGGCAAAAAAACCAAAAACAACCCACCCCAAAATAAACAAACAAATAGAAAAGACCTGTACAAGGCTGGCATTTAACCCACCCCCACCCCACCCCACCCCACCCCACTCCACTCAAATTTGACAAGTCCGTTGACTCAGCAGATTGAGAACAGGCTACTTGGCTTTTGTGTGTGAAGTCTGAACAGATCCAAAGCCGTTCAACAGAGGTGGCAGGCTGGAGAGCTGGATTCTTTTGTGATTCATCCTTTCAGCAAAACACAGGTAGTACAAATAGAAGTTTAACTTATCAAGGACATGAGACCATCACAGTATACAAAATAGTATATAAACTTTCCTTGGACCAAATGGATTTAAAAAAAAAAAAAGAAAAGAAAGCACAAATACATTTCTGTATCTACTGCTTATATACAGAAAGGGGAGAGCGCACGGGAGTCCAAAGTCTGTTCTGCAGTTACTTGGTGTAGTGAGTTTGGCACTTCATTGCGATGAAATTTCCAATGGCACAGTCGTTATCTACAGCAGCACAGAACCTGCAAACATCGGGCAAACATCCTACACAGGAGAAGTGTCTTGGTTGCCAAGTCTAACGAGGCAAAAAAAAGGAACCCCCCCTTTCTTCTATTTAAATCAAGAAAAACTAAAAGGAGGGGTGGGGTGAAGGACATCTTTGGACTGCTTCTCTCAGTTCCTGCTGTCAGACAATCTGAAGTACTTTTAAGTGTAGCCTGGGGAGGAAAAAAAACACAACACACACACACACACACAAAAAAAAAATCACAATGAAAATACAGCCAAATTAAAAATCAATCCAATTTAACATATTACAGTGACAGATATACTTAGGGGAAAAAACGCTAGAGCCTTCTCAAAAGCTCTGAAATCATTCAATAGGGAAAATTCTGCTTAGAAAAAAAATCAGCATTTGATTTGTATCAAATGTATTCATTTTATTGAAGCGCTATTAAAGAGATGTAGCCACCCAACTGTCAAAAGAAAATCCTTAAAGCCGTTAAAGAAAGTTTTCGTATGTTTAAACTCAAAAGGAAATTCATAAGCTCTTGCAAGAAAGGGTAGAGAATGAATGATAAAAAGATACTTCTCTGCAAGAGGCAGCCAACTGACATCAAAAAAGGCTAAGCATTGAAGACGGAAGTCACTGTGTTCCCCACTTTTAAGTTCTCTTTTCAGAGGTTTTTCGAGACTTGAGGGGGGGTGTGCATGTGGGTATGTGTGCAGGGAGTGAACTTACCAGCCTGCTCACTCCCTCTTAGCCTGACACCCAGCTGTGTGTTGTCGTCTTGACACTGTGTGGGAAGCTTTGGTTGGGCAACACATTGTCAAAGTTAAAATCCAAAGTGTCTCCATCCATGAGGTCGTTGTGGATGATGGCCTCCATGTCGCAGTCCAAGTGCTCCACCAGCATGCCGTCCAAGTCACTGGGGAGCCTCTCCTGGTGGAGAAGGCCCACCCTGCCGTAGCCATGGCAGCTGCTGAGCTGGGAATAGCCCCCGGGGCCGCTCATCTGCATGGGGTGAGCCAGAGGCACTTGTAAGGGCGTCTTCCCTGGGGTCAGGCGGTTCATACCCGAGGTGTGAGGCATGGTGTTCACAGCGTGGGGCAAGGCACGCCCGTTAACCACAGAGGTCTGCTGAGCATGTCCGGGGTGGGAATGGGGGTTGGGATTCATCATTTTGTTGTGAGGTGCCTGGTTGCCGTAGGTAGGCATGACCGAGTTAGGGCCCATCATCACATTCTGGCTCAGGACCCGGCTGTTGGACTGGGCCACCCCAGGGTCAACTGGTGTCATGATGTCATTATGAGGAGGAGAGTCAGAAGTAAGCAGCTCTTTCAAGAGTCCCGGGGCACAGTTATACTGACCCATCCCTCCGTAACCCGGCTTGCTGTCCTGCAGGGTCTGCATAGGCATCTGGGGCAAAGGGCTCATGCTGGATTGGCCGTAGGTGTATTTTTGGTAGTTTGGATTGGGCGAGTTCAGACTGGTGTTTGGAGGTGCAAATGAGTAGCATGGGGCCTGCTGCATCATGGCACCAGGTGAAGACTGGGTGGAAACAGTTAATGATGTCGGTGAGGAGAGGAGGTTGAGATTATCCAAGAGGTTTTCCATGTTTTCAGGATTGCTGATCTCAGAAAGGCTGGGGAGAGTTGAGGCCATCTTCCCAGCAGATGGGGGGTACACCATGGAATGCAAGTCCCCATCTCCAAGGTCATCCTGCTGGGTCATAAGGGGAGAGAGTCTCCCACTCAGAGTACTCGCGTTTGAGCTCGTTCGAGGGCGAAATGTGCTCCAGTTGTCGAAGTCGTCATTGCTGTGGGAGCCAGGGCTGGCGGGCCACTTGGAGAACTGAGAGCCGGGGCTGTCCCCCGCACCCTCCTGGCCAGACTGCAGCGATGCTTTCTTCTTGGCAGCCCGGCCCCGGCTCTTAGCAAATTTACTGTTGTTGTCCATGGACGCGGCTCTTCTCCTGGGGGATTTTCCACTCTTGCCTCCCTCTGGATTCAGCATCCACCAAGAGCTTTTCCCAGTTCCTTCATTCTGTACTCGGATGAACTTGCTGTGCAGAGACAGATTGTGGCGGATTGAGTTCTGGAAAGCAAAACATCACGTTAGAAGCGTAATACTTCTCCACTTTGGAAATTCAGAATCCAACTTTGCTAGGCATTACACGGAGACAAGAGAAATGCTAGAGTTTAATGGCACAGCACAGCTTCAAGGAGTCAGCAGGAAAACACCATGACTCTGGACTCTACTAATGAACAGGGCTCCAATCGGTGGAGGAAAAACAACTTTTGAGTCAGAGGACACAGGAAATGAGCATCATTATGATGTGATGAGTTTGTCTCAATTCATGGGGACCCCAGGCAGAACAGAATGGCCATTCTTACACCAGCACCTGGAAACGGGATGGGACCTTTGTAACCTACAGAGGTTTACTGGCTGATTTGGGCAGCAGACCAACAGGCCTTTCTTCCTAGTCTGTCTTAGTCCGGACAGTCCACTGAAACCTATTCCGCAAATGCCATCAAGCTGACTGTGACAATGATCCCATCAACTACAGATCTAACCTGGGCCGACCATGCGCCACCATGGCTTTCTCTCCCTTACTCAAGCCCACTGCTGCAGTCACAGTTGAGGGTCTTCTCTTTCACAGACTCTCTACATCTCCCCAGTATGTATGTTTCCAAGGACTGGGCCCTCGTGACAACACGCCCAAAGTAAGTGCAATCCAAGTTTCACTCTCCTGGCCTCCAAGGAGCACCCTCGCTGCCAGCCAGCATCACAGCAACACACAAGCCTCAATGGCAGACGAGTGGCGGCTGTGCATGTGGTGTCTTGGCTGGAAATCAAACCCAGTCTCTACACAGAAGGTGAGAGCAGTACCAGTGAACCACCAAGGCCCTCAAACATGATATAAACACCTTCTTTAAGATTTTTTTTGTTCTTAACAGAACATTTTAGAAGTGAATTATAGGAACTGTCCTGGAGAAGGTGCAGTCAGAGTGCTCCTTGGAGGCGAGGAAGGTGAGGTGAGGCCTCACCTCACATACTGTGGACATATTGCTAGGAGAGGTTCTTCCTTGGAAAGGTGGAGGGTCAGTGAAAGAGGGGAAGACCCTCAAGGAGATGGACTGACATCGTGACTGCAGCAACGGCTCGAGTGTATCAGAGATGATGAGGACGGCACATGCGAGGACAAGGTTAAGATCTGCTGTGCAAAACATCACTATGCGTCATACTTGAAGGTACCTAACAACAGGAACGAGCTTTAAAACCACTCAACGGTGCTGAGCTACAGTGCAATGCAAACAACACTCCGTAGTCCACGCGGTGAATAACGGTCCCCACACCTGCACGGTAAGGACGGGCACAAATCCAATCCCCCAAATGTGCCGACTGCGCCAGTCCTCCCCTGCCCGCTTCTCCAGCCTCAATGCCAACTCTCACCACACCAAACTCCCCTCCTCCCACCCACTCTAATCCTTGTCACCTGGAGCAAAATCAGGGCTCGCCAATTACAAAGACACAATGCCCCGCAGATTGCCAACAGCCCGTTTGGGAAGTCCAGCCTTCTGACCTGCTGGCCACAAATCTGGAGCTGGTTTCCTAGCACTCCCTTCAGTATCAGCTGGAAATCAAGCACAGGAATTCATGCAACACCCTTACTTTCTAGCTTCTACTTTTCTTTCAAATCCGTCCCTGGAATGACTCAACAAAATTCAATCATGCGTACAATGACAGATTTATTACAACCAAAAGGATACGACGAGACACCTGAGGGAAGGCCTAGGAGGATTCCCAACATGAAAATGCCATATGCCAAGGGATGTGCCCAACAGCAGATGCTCCTTCCACCAGGAAGCTCTCCAACTTCACCTTCAGGCTCTTATCAGCCTGTCTCACATAACAGGCTGACTCAAGCCTCCCAAGGGCATCTTTTTTAGCCCAGCCAGAACCTGACCCCTTCCTCAGCAGAGACTCTCAAAAGTGGGCCTGGCAGAGGCCAAGGGACTTAAAAGGCCACCTTACTTAGGATAAAATGAAATCCTCTATCCCCTAGCACTACCAAAAAAAAAAAGTGAGATGTTTTAAGATGGCCAGTTCAAAGAGGAAATAAATCAAAAGCCTTTGACTTCTTGAAATATGAGGAAAAATTTTAATCCTGAGAGAGAATTTGAAGCCATCAACTCTCATCATGACTTCCACACTTGCTTTTGGGGAGCTCATGGAGGGGATGCAAACTCAAATTTACTGTACAGATCAAAGATCATTTCCACTAATAATACAGTACAGTATTAGAAATTTTAAAAAATGTGATGTTTCCTACTACTGGGACCAAATGATGATGGAAAAGAAGTGAAAATATATTTCTAAGAAATTAGAAAACCATGTAAGATCTAAATTCATTTACACCTTTATGTCCAGAGGTAAGTTAACAGACCTGCCTATCTGCCCCCATGCCAAATTTCAATTCATTAACACTTCTCTATACTGTCCCCTCCCCACCAATGACCAAGAGTGTACCTACACCAACTGACCTCACGCTGTCCCTCCCAACAGACAACAAGGAAGAAAGCAATGAAGAACAAGAGAGTGGAAGCCTGTGGTGTGTTGCTGCATGACAAGTTCTGCCACATAGAGTAACCAACTGGTTTTAAACATTTAAGTGGTCCCATGACTCATTAGCCATTTATTTAATTCAGGTAGGTTCCTCAGTCCCTTTTTCATCTGTACGACAGAAGTGGGTCCTGGCTGGGTTGTTACTGGATTAAATGAAATTGCTACAAAACCCAAGTTCAACTCACTCCCCTCAAGTCCACTGTTAACTCAGGCAACCCTCCATCAGATTTCTCAACAGGAGGAGACTGCCACATCTCCCTCTGGAGGCACTGGTAGACTTGAACTGCCAACTTTTCAGGTAGAAGATCAACACTCATTCACTTTGCCATGAGGGCTCCTTATTAACCACATGTAAAGTGCTCGCTGGCGCCTGGTAGTGTTCAGTCGTCTGGATGAAGAAGGCATGAGACCTCAACTCAGGGCACCGATCGGACCATGCTTCCCTGCTCCTTGTAATGCAGCAGAGGTAGGAACACAGGAAACGACCAACACAGAGCTCTAATCTACCTCCTAGAGGATGGAGAAGGAAACCAGAGACGGCCTTTCAAGCTTCAGGAGAAACACAGGAGCCAAACTACAGACTGAGGAAGTCCCAACTTGATTCATTAACTGAACACGTGGTTAGACTTCTGGCACTTGGGGAGACTCTGCGGTCCTTGGAAGACAGCAGTTCAATTACAGTACAGAGAACTGACTGACTTTCCACGTCAGCTCAAGCAGCTGCTTCTGCAGCCCTTCATCAGACCTTTCACTGCTTTCAAGCTGCTCCCACGTCCAGGAGCTGCAGCCTGGGTGCACACACCTCTCCCTGCCCCACAAGGCAAGCTGTGTGCACGGCTCCTGAACGTCCTTGACTTCAACCAACTGGGTCTAAGGGTCAGCTGACTGAGCACCCTGGCTCTCTCCAACACCTCTCCTTGACCACAAAAAGACTATGGCTGGATTTGTGGCCACCCAGGGATATAGCCACAACACCCACATCCTCATGCCATCCACAGATGCCTACATGCTAATCGTTGCACCAGAGCAGAGCCTCTGCACCGCAGGACAAAGTCTGTCTGCACCCCAGCATCCGTGCAAGGATCTCACTTTCTAAAAGGAGATGTAAAAGTCAGAGTGAGACCCAACTGCCAAAGCTACGTTCCCAAACACTCTTTGACTGCATCATGGCCCGGGCCTGCAGCACCCAGCCGCACCCAGCTACGTGGGCAAGTCCTCTGGCCACCTGCAAACACTGAGCGCACAGCTTTAACAGGGTGCCTCTGGAGAGAGGCTGAGTGTTGCTGGGTGCCGGCAAGTCAATCCCAACTCACAGAGACCCCACAGGACAGAGCAGAGCTGCCTCATTGAGTTTCCAGGCTGATCTTTACTGGATAGCTTACCGGGTCCTTCTCAGGCAGGTCAGAGTGGGTGGGAACCACCAGCCTTTAGTTTGCACCACCAAAGCCAAGCACTATGTTTTCCTTAAGTCCTCATTCCTGTCTGCCTACAATCCTATGGGAAGCTCTGCACACATATACGCAGGCTCTCAAGAGGAGGACTGGTGCGACAGTCACAGTGGGCTCAAGCATGTCATGAACACAGCACATTAGCGGACAGTTTCCTCCTGGTATATCCAAGACTGCCCGGATTTAGAGCCAATTGAATCCTCCTCCTCCACCACCACACACGCCCACAGGGCCACAGTCACAATCCACTGCTACCTACTCCGGCACCTCAAGGTCTACCTGCCTCCTGGAGGGAGCACCAGCGCCAAGTCCCATCCCGACTCTGCAAGCCTTTCTGTCCGTGGGTGCCTGGACGTTTGCACAATGCGCCACTGCGGCAGCTTTGTCTTGGAACCCAACACACAGATAAGCCACCGTGAAATCTCTGTAGGGGAGGAAGCAGGACTCCTGTCCCTGTCACATTCTGTTGATGAGAAAGGGGAAAGAAAGTTCATCCCCGAGGACAGCTGCCTGGCTGTCTGCGCTGACCTGGGGAAGGGGAGGATGTGATCATCCCCAAGTGTGGCTGGGAAGTCTCTGTAGACGGCAGAATACATAATGAGGAAGTCTTTTAAACATTCAAGAAACGTTTACTGACTTAGAGAAATGTACACTGAAATCCACTCCTTGGACAAAACCAGACAGAAACAAAACCCCCTCACTTATGCAAACGTTCCACTACAGATTTCTCCAAGAGGACATTTCGGGTCGCTCTCTGAGTAACCGAGCTGTCTCCTCACTTTACTAACAATTAAAAATACTTTTTTTCCGAACAGGAAAAGGTTCGCTGTGCAGAGCTTGTACATAAATTCCTGTTTTTCACACAGCCAGCAGGACATTAAAGCAGCTAGGATTTCCAGCCCCGGGTGGGGGTGGGGGGTGCCGGAGCGGTAAAGCTTGTAAAAATACGGGCTGCTATTAATGATGTTGTGTCTACAGATCTCTGCCAGACAGGGATGGAGCTTGATGAAAGGACAGCTT